CAAGCCGTGAGGTGGTAGAAACTTGGAGCGCAATTAATATGTCGACCTAAAAACCGTCCACAAGTCGATGAGCAGTCATCACCAGACCTCCAAAAGCGGCTGTTCATAGGCCAAAGCGGTATATAACTGCCGCTTGCCTTGTTGCTGTTGCAATTTATGACGATGGACACCTGTAGTATTGCGGGTCAGATATGATTACGTAGGCGCACTTGAGGTAAACAAATCCCATCCACCTGTAATACGGGGCCGGCGGTAATAGGGGCTTTTACACGTGGGCCGGGGACGCACAGGCGACGAGGTTAAGTAACTATTTACAAAAGAAAAGTTATTGGGAATGCGCGCATGTACTCTTAGCGATTGAGAGATAGTTGCTCTAACCCCAACAGTATTGTGTCCATCAGATGCGGCTGCATAACCATATCTTATCGTATTTCGAAAGCTCACGCCAGTAAACACGAGGTTCAGGTGTTCAACGATTTCCCTCCTTCCTTACTCCAAGATAAATCTCGAAGATTCGTAGCCCACCTTGTGATCCATGCTGCCGTGAAGGCGAAAGAGTTTGAGGTCAGATGTTGTCAGCGGCGAATGCACATCGTCGTTAGTGTCGCAGAGGGTTTCGCTGAACAAGCGATAGTGGAAATCAACGCAGTCTTGAGTGGCAAAGAAGACGATGATCTTCCCGGATCGTTTGTTGTACTGGAGATTCGAAAAGGAGATGGAAAATGGAACTATACGGTTGGACAAACAGCAAACTTCTGCAAATATCAAAAGGTCATCTGACTATGAAGAGAGAAAAGATGACGGCTGCGCTGATATTCGAAAAAGGATCAAGGTGCGGATTTAGCCACTGGCTTATCTCGTGAAATATTAACCGAAATTCTGAAGTGTCTTCGACCAGAAAGGATTACTTAGGAGGGGTTGCAATATATAATCCCCAGATATTTCAGTCATAACAGAATGCCGGTTTTTAGATTAGCCTTTACGATCGACGGCAAGAAATACAATCGGTAAAAGCCAATACTTCGGTAATGTTGACTTTCCATTGATTGTATAGAAAAGATACCTGAAAGCATTCTTCCTCGTAATCATTTGGTAGTAAACTACACTTTCTCGAAATGTTATGCTCTATGGTAGGGTATCTTTCGGTCTACAAAGTCTGTTATTATCAGATTTTTTAAGACTATTAAACGTCCATCCGTACAGCATCGTATCCATATGAAGTACACAGCATGATTCACATCCAGTGCAAAATGTTATGAACCCTGCATGAGGTTACCTAAACAATGCGGAGAAATGTATGGTTTTTCTTACATGGAAATCATACGACAAGTAGTTTGGAAATCCTTGCCGCAAGTGCAACTCCAGGTCGGGTTCAAAATTATTCGTGAATTGACAAAATTTTTAAAAGACTAAAATAACATTAATTAAATTTGAAAGGGACGTCATGTGAGACAAAATGAGTACTAGGAAATATATCTCTGCGTATGTCTTTACCATAAAATATATTTTTGAAGTTAGAGGGCCATCGGAAATTATTTTACCCGAGTTTGGACCTTGAGGATAGCCGGAATGAAAGCTCATTCAGAAGCCGGCATCCCGGCGTGGCTGAAATATCTTGGGATAATATTGCGTGACAAGCAATATTACAGCACTGACCGAGTGATCCTTGCGAATCGAAAACCCATTTCAGGATTTCGGTTAACATCTTAAGAGATAGGCCAACTACCGTACAAGCGACTTTTTTTAAACGTATCGTTAAAGTGGTAAACAGGAAATGCCGTCAACGGGTGGTGCAATATCAATGGACGGCTGCAGGTGCGAACCTGGCCAGAGATAGCGGAGATGGGGAAAATAAAACAAAGGGAAGGAGGAGGCGGAGGTGATAGTAAAGGTAGGCGCGGCAGCCGAAGAACAGGTGAAACAAAAGAATCTCATGAAAGCTTAAATGAAACTCTTCAACGCGTTTTCAGTTGGAAATAACTTCTCGAGTGAAATCGTGATGGTGATCAGCATGGAACATAATCTCACGATATTTCAGCCGCCTTCAAAAATCGTGATTGTTAAAAGTCATTACTTTAGTGTACATTTTTGCACTGATTTCAGATGCCTGTATCAATTTAATTGATTGAAAGAAAGCTGGCATATAAAACCCCGCCCCAACTCATTTTGAAGGAAATTACACCTTGTTCAAATTTTGTACTCAGGGGGCGACGTTTATCAATTTCAAGACAAATGTTAAATTACCAGAATTTTTAAATACTAAAGTGATTTAAGTAGCACAACATGATCTATTGACATCGCAAAACTTCACGAGTCTCAGACGACGTCTTCCCAACACCATAAATGAATGAAACGCGTGCAGCAAACAGTCTGGGAATCCAACATGCAAGTTAGAAGATAGGCTGTGTTTAAAACAACGCGGTAACTGATAAACTTTCTTGAAACTAAGAAAACTATTTGTAAATACAGAACTTCAAAAGGCCTGATTACCTAAAAAAGGACGTAAGAGGGAATGTTGTTATGTTCACTCCTGTAAAATCTGATCAAATTTGCACATGCATCTAAAACCAATGCAAAAAGTGCCCACCACTTATGCAAAGATTTTTAGCCATCCTAGAGCCAACAATATAGTCTGCATGATGCATCTTAGGATCACGTTAGATGCTGAACAACACCGTCAGCCTACCTAATTATGTACTTTTAACGGAAAGCATTTTTGGAAAAAAAACAGGCTTGTAGCAGGTTTCGCAAAAGCAACAGTGATTTGGTTCTACCCTGTAAAAAAGACTAGAAGATTCACGTACAATCAAGAAGGGGGGTTAGTGTTAGCGGGTAGGGGACCTGAGTAGAGAAACAGAGCGAAAACAACCAACCCGAGCTTTGAGGAGTAGGAAGGCGGCCAGAGTAACAAGACGCAGTTTGCATGGACAAACAAGTAAAAAGTGTTTAAGACCGGTGGGCATCGCAAAGGCCGCAGGGGGGGCTGTGACGGGCTCTTGAGTAGGAGAGTCAGATTTAGAGGTAGCAGAATGCAATGACGGCTGTTCGCTGACCTCACAACGAACAGGATCGCGGAGGGCCAAACCTGCCAGGTTTTCGACACCTAATTAATGATAAAAAAAATGCATGTTCGACCATTTATTGAGGTACGTCGTTTTCTCAGAGACACGGACATGAGAGAAAAACATCAAGAGAGCATGGTTTTTATCTAATCGTCAACGACCCATTATTCCATATACAGTGGACCAACGAGAGGACAACACAGTTCACTGACTGGAAGCAAGTGCCTACAGGACGAGTGCTAAGTGCCCAAACTGAGACGAATTCGGCCTCTGCATCTCGCAAACGACTGGTTTCAAATTTCAGATAGCCTTGTTGAATATTCGACTGCCATAGCACTGACAATAAACTACCATTGAATAACCACGTATTGCCCATTCTACAAACAAGTAGGACTACGAGTAGTATTAAATCCATATAGCAAAGGTATTATACCGTACACCCGACATAGATACTTGGTAAAAGCCCAGACTAGTGTTTTGCCGATATTCTACCGCTGCGTGACACAGCTGTGAGGGGTTCGGCTGACCCTCGGTTCTGACCCTAAAAATTCATGTCCCGGAGATTTAACTCCAAGTCCTGCACTGAGTAATTTCTGAAATTATTCACTTGATTATTCTCTGGAGTTCATATACCATAAACCACTAGAGAACGCTGGGGGTTCCACTGAAGAGCCGAACCCCTCGCAGCTGTGTCACGCAAGGGCAGAATATCGGCGAAACACTAGTCCAGGCTTTTACCAAGTATCTATGTCGGGAGTACGGTATAATACCTTTACTATATATTTATTTTTTTGAAGGCAAATGCCTTCTTTGGGAAAAGAAAACTTTATTGAGTAAATTTTCGACGTCGGTTCCCCGTGTCGTCGTCAGACTCGAGTAAATGTGTAAAAAACAACTACCATATCAAACGTGCCGAGAAATCAATATTCGTTTGGTGCTTCAGCAAGTGAGCGGCCGTCGTGTGCGTCAGTCTGTATTGACGACGACACGGGGAACCGACGTTGAAAATTTACTCAATAAAGTTTTCTCCTTTTTCCAAAGAACGCATTTGCCTTCGAATTATATTTCTTGGGATGCCTGCGACCTAAAGAAGTCCTACTTAAAGTGTTTAACGGCTAAATCTTGAAAAAAATCCCTAAAAGGTTTACCTGGCGTAAGAGTAGCTGATAAAAGCACCGTTTGGACGCGTGCCGCTCCATCGATGGCAGATACCTCTCTCGACACACGTTCAATAATGCGCCGCACGTCACGTTCAAAGCCAAGTTCAACGAGACGATCAGCTTCATCAATAACCAGCCACCTTACACCTTTCAGAGTCAGGCTTGAAGTCTTCCCCAAATGGTCAAGAAGGCGCTGGGGTGTACTTATGATAATATTCAGTCCTTTTCGGAGACTATAAGAGCAAATAAAAGAAAGAGCTTGCGTCAAAAGCGAGGCAGATTAAAACGACGAACAATTGGTGCGAAAACTGGGAAAGATTGCAGGAACAGACCTTGCTTTTTGAGACTTGCGCTTTGTTCCGCCTATAAGACATCCCGAAACAATCCGGATGCATGACTTCGTTAACTGGACGAAGACATCCGCAGTTTGTGATGCTAATTCCCGAGTGGGGAGGAGTATTACAGCCCTTGGCCCATCAGCACGACTAATCGGTGGGTCAAGGCTCATTAAGTTATTTATCAGAGGCACGGCGTACGAAAAAGTTTTGCCTGATCCTGTCTGAGCCTTTATTAACGCGTCGCATCCATCACACAACGGTTTACTTGCAGAAATTTGAATCATTGTGGGTTTCTTGAGATTGAAATGGTTTATCAGTGTTGATACTAGGTGTGGGTGCAGGCCAATCTTCTCTCCAAACTCTTTCCAAGATGTTTTAGAAAAAAGTGGTTCAATAACAGCATTGACAGGTTCTCTGAAAAGGATGAATTGAACAGAATACTACTTGACAGTGTTCAAAAACTCCTCTTGGCTGGGATGTTGCTTAGCTGAGAGGCCCACTTGAAGTGGATTCTTCGAAGTCTTGTCAGGAGCTTGTGCAAATTTAAGGGTTCGTTCAGAATTCGGTATTTTGGTGTGAGAATTCAAAGAACGGTTTTTGGCTCCCTGTGAAAGTTTCGACGGTTTAGAGTCGTTGAAATTTCGCTGGTTCACAGAAGTATCAAGATCAACAGGCCCATCCCTATTGGGCTGTAGAACGCGGGCATGACCATCTTCATGCGAACTCTTAGCTTCGATGGATTTTCGCCCTCTTTTTCTGGTCTATAAACTTAAATTGGTAAAATCATTTAACTACCTTTCCCGGATCTCCTTGCGTTTGTGCAGAAATATTTAAGACAACCTCGTCATCCATAGTGCTGTAGACTAACCTCTCCTTTGTCCCGGGCTTCCTGTTGTAGTGGACTTCGAGGTTCTTGCTCCTTCCGAAATAGGCTCTGCTGTGGAGTCGTCCTTTAGTTCTGAATCAAGGTATCCTGATAGCACCGTTCATCTCTCATATACAATAATCCAAACAAGGGCAATATGTGCAGCAAAAGAGGGTGTTTGGGTGATAACTGTATATTGTGAGTCGGGGGACAAAGGGATGGGAAATAAATGTCGATCATCAATGAGGGAATGACAAAATAATCAAATGGGGAGTAGTAGATATTTCACTTTTGAGAATCTGGGGACAATATGCTTTCAGAGTACAATTTATCAGTTGCAATTGACTGCAAGACAAAGTGAGGCACGCACAAACTCCAATTTTTTCGACTTCCGTCTTTTCTTTATTAATCAAAGCCAATACTTCCTGCCGTTACGCACTTTCCTCCTCATGTGAAGCCCTGTCCGCAGGGCTCCTCGCTGAGGTGGCCTCTATTGTTTCGTCTCTAACCGGTGTGGGTACTAAGTGCGGAGCAACGGTGGGCACCTTCACCGTTGTGGCTGTAGGTAGGCGTTCCCAGTTTGGCTGTAGCTTATCAAAATATCGGACCGGTAGGAAGTGAAGAGTCACGAAGTACATAAGTAATGGGATAGCGCACATGAGCGACACACATGGTCCTTCCCGGAAGTGAAACAATTTGGCCAAATTTCTAGAGGGCATTCTAAATGGAAACGTCAAAAGAAGTCGCCTAATTGGCTAGGGGTACCATGGACTCGACCAAAATAGGCTTCCTGTCTTTCAGCGACTGATCCTTGATGGTCGCGTACTAGGTTGTGGGCGGGTCGGAGGAATTACTGTAGTTGCCACACATAGTCATCCGGGGTGCATTCGTTTAAGACGACTAAGGGCGTGTGTGAGTAAACAGAAAGGCGGAAATGGCGTCCGGTCAGCATAAGAGACGTGTGTACAGCGGCGCAGCATGCTATCATCGTGCACGGTAACCCTTTATCCCAATCATGTTATTGGTTCTTCTCAGCAAACGCCTTCCGCAATGGAATCAGCGTTTGGTTGGTTCTTTCGACTTGCTCGTTTCCTTCAGGGTGTGCGGGAGTCGTGTGAGTCTTGTAGATATCGAGGTCGCACAGGTTTTGCAGAAATTTACTATCAAAACAGAAAAAGGTGTCTCGAAACGACATACCCAGTCATTGAATATTGCGGCAGCCACTGGCGTGGCGTCTTGTCGCAATAGGATACTGCCTCTGCCCATTTGATGAAATAATCGACCATCACTAGTACAGATCGGAGGAATTGAGTTTTTAACAACAGGGAGCCGAGGATGTCAAGGCCTACAGATTGGAATTGAAGACTTCTGAACATCGGTTGGAGAGGCGGACGTCTCTGCTGTTGGGGTGGTTTAAACAAAGTACACACGGTGCCCGGATTTCAGAAAACGGCCCCTTATTCACGAAGGTCTTGTTCTGTTCTACGTGGTCTAACTCGGCGTGTAGATCCGTGAGTGCGGATTGTACAAGACTTCCAGATACAACTACTCGGGTATTTTTGGTTGTCGTCTAGGAGTAATCAAAAGTCATTGTCGATAAGTAGTTGCTGTCGATGATTACGAGAAATTTAAGCTGCTTCCGAAGAGCCGCGAGGCTCGATGTTGCCCACGCAGTAAATGGCCATATATTACTGCTGTGTATGTGTCTGTGTCCTAAGCCACTGCCAAGCGGTGCCAGGGGGGTTCGCTTGCATACACAGCTTTGATTTAATCAGGTAGGATGTTATACTCCGTGGTGTCGGAGTTTGTCGGGTGTCGTGACAGAACATTTGCACTAGCGTGTTATTTGCCCCGGCGGTAGACATAAGTGAATTTATACCTCTGTAGTAGATCTTGCCAACGGGCAAGTTGGTCCTCTGCACCCACGGTGTTGTGAAACCACTGAATGGCCTTGTGATCAGAGCGCACAACGAACAGTTTTCCCAGCATATAAGGGTGGAAATAATTAACAAGGGCAATTATCGCTAACAATTCTCGACGATATATGCAATAATTCTTTGTGGTTTCGACAGTGTTTTGCTGGTGAAACAGAAAGCCCTCTCATGGCCACTTTTATCCGCCTGTGATAGTACGCCACCAGTAGTGAATGCTCGGGTACCAGTGTTAAGAATGAATGGTGATGCGTCAACGGTCGTGCTAGGAAGCGTGAGTATAGGTGTTATAGTGAGGTGAGCTTAAGGATTGTCAGGCACTGTCTGCATAAATTAATTTCCATCATGTTTCCGTGAGTCTATGCAGCGGTTGCGCTATGCCAGAAAAGTTTGCAACGAAAGACCGATAGTCAGAGGCTCATCCAACGAACCTTCGGACTTCCGGAGGAGTTTGTGGTGAAGGCAAAAACGTGCAAAGCAATATATGCAATGCCATTTGGGGAGTCAATGTGAAAATATGCTTGACCGTGGCTTGTAGAAAGACGACGTTTAGAAAATAGTACAAAATTGTCTCATTTGTGTGCCATTTGCTGCAGTCAGTCCGGATACGGAACATGTCTGCATCCTGTTGACATATAAATGGTGTGGTATGATTCGTGTATTGACTGATCCCCTATGGAGAGGAAAATATGATTTATATTGTTCACAACAACATGCACATTGCTGATTATGTCGGACGCCACGGAGTACTAGACTCTTTTTCATCTTTTCCATTTGAGAGAAACCTAGGTAGAGTGAAGAAACTTTTGTGAAGTTCGTCCAGGTACTCGTAACAGAGAGCTGAGCGACTTAGTGAAATGGACATATAATTTAGTAGTCTACATCATAGCTAACCTAATGCTTCTGCATAACCACAGCAGGCGCCTATTTCCCGAAAAGCTTGATGTACGTGAACAGTTTACGTGTAGAATTAGTGGACGGTTTCTGGCGGATACATCGACAAAAAATAGGCGAACTAGCCTGAGTGAGAAGGTAGTGTGTTAAGAACATCGTTCGCGACAGCAAGTGTTCATATGGTATATAGCTTGTTCATTAACATAACATTTCAAGTTCCATCAGCTGCGGGAGCCTGACACATGCACATACATTTGCTACCTCCATGACAACTCGTACGTCTTAATCGAAATAATAGACCAATTGTCACTAGCAATCCCGTTCCCAGCGCGAGCGGTGCTCGTGAAGCCTACAACAACACAGTTCCAAGTTGGTGGTTTACAAGCAATATGGGATAAAGGGTACGATGTAGCCGGACAACCTGCTATCTTTTTACTATTTAAGCCCACTTTTCCTGAGTGACTGTAGATATATATGTAATGGAGGCCAGCAGACGAAAATCTTATAGAACCATTAAAAATCTCTACGATGGTCCAATATAGTCGTTGGATGATCCTCCGTTATCTTCATAGTAGGTTCTACAGAACTATGCCGAGTAGATATCCGATAGGTATCTATTCATCAAGATGGGCGCATCGACTAAATATTTATTTTGTCTACAACATAAATATTTAGTAGATACTGAATAGACAACATAATCAGCAGACGGCGAAAATGGGGCGTAATACGGTACGCTCGTAATCGTTTTCATGAAGCAACACCAACTGTAACTCGCAACTCCCTCCTACTTACCCTTACTGTTGCCTCCCCTCTACCTAAAGCACTGCTATGCGATGTCCCAATGTCCCATATAATGTACATGCTATATGCAACAAGTAACCTTGGAGACGTTTAATAAGGAATAATTGTACTTAAAAATATATTAAACGTATATGTGCAGCGCTCAGTTGCTTTCCATCAGTTTTCACTGTCGACGGAGGCGGGTGACCGAAAAACGTTCCGGGAATGTTGCCTACAAGTCAGAATCAATTTTTAAAAATTAGCAGTCGACTGGCCACTTGATTGTTCGTTTAATCGAGTTTTCTGTTTCCTCTGGGCATAGATGTCGAACGGCCTTTTCAGCCGCACAGCAAAAGTAGACTCAAGATCAGATAGCCTTGCACTACCGTTTGTATTCCATGCATTGAAAACCTCTGAATATCGTAGTGGTGAAAGTAGTATGTGCGTTAATTTCATAAGACGGAAAATTAAGGAGTCTGAGTGAATCAAAGATCTACGAGGTTATAATTGGTATGTCTGTCGTTACTAAAATCACTACGATATTTAGAGGTCTTCAACGCACGGAACACAAACGGTAGCGCAAGGTTATCTGATAGTGAACATGCTTTTACCAAGAGGCTGAAAAGGTCGTTGGACAGCTAGGCCCAGCGACAACGGAAAACTCAATTAAACGAAAAATCAAATGGCAAACTGACTGTCAATTTTTAAAAATTAATTCTGTCTCGTAGATAACATTCCCCGGACGTCTTCCGGTCATCCGCCTCTATCGACGAGGAACAAGTATTGGCTATCACACTGGGTATAACAAGATAACCGAACGGAGATAGTAAATAGTTCGCTGCTGAGAATCTGGGGCAAGATATGTATGGGATCCACTTCCTTAGTTGTAGCGGTCACGTCACTCCTGGACGTGAGACAATGTGAAGCACGCTCGAAACCCCGACTTTCAAAAATTCGCTCTTTCCGTCGGTTTTTTTGAACAAGGCCAGCGATGTTTGCGCTGAAGTTGCAAGTGCAGGACGCGACGTGCCTTTATCTGCACGAGGTGATTTGTCAGTTAGTTCAGGATCCTTCACTGGGTTGCATTGCTTATTCAGGTCGGTAGGCATAACCGCACACTAGTCCTAGCAATCGACGGTCAGACAACGATGATTATAGAAACATTTGATTAAGAGACATAATAATAATGAAGCAACAGTAAACCCCGATTAAAGAAGGCGCATAAAAGTCCGCAGTTGGGGTTTTTGAGGGGGGTCTACCAGACAAAGAAATCCTGGTCAATACTATGATGATCCAAGGGGCGCGTAAACAGTTGACCCCTAAACCATAAGAACACCACCAGCAGACAGCTCATCACTCCAACTGGACACCCACTTTCGTAA